TACAATTTTGTTTATTTTTATGGGGGGGTCCAGTGGAGGAAAAGTAGGAGCTGGTATCATATAGTCCTTGCTGTACATTTTAATTCTAATGCTGACCAAATGTGTTCTAATTGTACATTCCTCTTTAAATATACCAACAACTATGTAGTCCAATGGTATACCTAATTAAATATACATTAAATGGATTAAGTGTGGTCATATTTAAGTCTAAAGGATATTGTAAGACCAGATTTTAACCTATATTGCTATAAACAATGTTGGCTTTGGATCACCTAATTCTATTTTTTAAGTTCTGTTCTTAGAAATAATCTTGCAATTTCTCCCTTTTTATATCCTCCCTGTTAATAAAATTGGTTTTGATTGCAGATTACTACATAGGTTTGTTATTTTTCAGATTACTAACACTTTTCAAATAACTAACCCTTTTACAGCACAATAAAAGTGCTAAGTGTCACCGCATAGATCTGCTTTTTGACATTCATAGAGATTCAGGGCCATTTAGCTGTCTGGGTTTATGGTGCTTAAAATTTGCCTTTTAGCTTGTTGTACTGTCTACTGCTAACGAGTAGTGTCAACCTTACCTTGACTATTTGGATATACATTTTGAGCATTAATCTAATTGCACTTATACTAGTATAAAGTTTTTTTTCTCCAAGCCCTTAAGCTTAATTTGCGCGATTAAGTATAAAATACTTTCTGTTGACTTTTTCTCTGCTCAAGATTATGACAGATGGTAAAGGGGTTCTAGGAGCTAAATATAATAGCATTACCACAGGTTATGAGATTACTAAAGTTAATGTATTATCTTGATTTTTATGCTGAAGCTACACATTATTAATGTGTGTTTTACAGTCTAAAGGCGCACAGTTATAAATTGCTGTGTAATAATGGACATGATCTTTTGAAACTTCTGATCTATTTTTATATACTGTATTTCGTTTTCGTATGATATGCCTCTACTATGTATTTGCAAGGAATTTCCTTCACTATACAGCAGTAGTATTGCTTTAATTTGCTTTTTTTTGCAATGCTACCTTCTGTTACCCTGAGTCCTGTGAGGCCTCCACAACGGCAATCATGATATAGCACACATATCAAGAGAGCTCATTTAAATTTTAATGAGCACATGCTGTGTCAGGTTGTGTGCCCAATTAAAGCTTTTGACATTGGGATAGCAAGGATTTTTTCCAGAGATTACATTTCTCCACAGTACTTTGCACTTTACATTGTACACTGCTGGTCCTGATCCTGTGAATGTTACCTACAAACTACTAGCCTGAAAAGTCTCATTTAGTGTATTTTGAAAGCTATTTCACTGTTTTCCACTGTGAAACCTAATATATGGTGATTGGATTTTTTTTTTTCATTTGAAGCACGGAACATATAGTTTATTTCCTTCCATGTTCAACTTTTTTTAAATCAAGAGCTTTGCTGTCCTCCAAAACTCAAGTGAAGTCCTAAAAACGCTATATTGTATGCATATTCATAAATATAAACATTGGTAGATTTTAGTGTGCTCACTGATTTATACTGTTTTGGTATACCAATACATAGAAGAAGTAGAAGCATAAGTGTCTATCTGCATACAGAGGATAAATAAACTTGGTGCATTAGGTTGTGGATGATGAGCTATTTCTGATATAACATTGGATATGTGAAAAGGTCCTGAAGTGCTAATGAGTGTAGTCCTGGAGGCTACCTACTTTGTTGCAAAATCCTTGTAGAAGTATTCATTGTGTCATTTTTGTAATTTATGGATTCATTCCATTAGATTGGCTATTTTTAGGTTAAACAGGTAGCAAGCCATCTCTTTGTTTAACCAAAGTAGTAAAGGTGCCCATACACTGCACGATTATCGTACGATAATCGTATGCGATCGGTTTTTCGTACGATAATCGAGCAGTGTGAACGGAGACGTGCGACCGTTTCTACTGTACGGTCGCACGTCTTCTGTCGAACCAGCATGTTCGAAAAGCGCACACTGCCCGTTCAGCATTGCGGTCATCGGAAGCCCGCCCCTCAGGGGCGGGCTTCCGATGATGATTGAGAGTGCGATCTGCCTGTCCAAGATAGGCAGATCGTACGTTTTTTTAATCCCTGTACAACCATCGCAAAACTAACGTCTTGCGATGGTTGTAGAGTGTATGGCCACCTTTAGGGTGCCTCACCACAAGCACTTCGGAAGACTCTGAATTTGTGAAATGAGCTGTTCAGAAGTGCCTTATATGGATTTATCATATACCCCTGCCAAGAATTGTGCTTGCAGGTTAACATACATTGTTCTAATATCTGCTAATTCTATGACAGTCCCACCAGATGCACTTTAATGCACCTGTAGAGCCACATCTGTGAAAGCACAGATTTGGGTAATTCTTCCAGTCTCTAAGGGACCATGTACTAGTGTAAGAGCAGCTTTAATAAATGACAAATTAAATGAGCTTGTATGCTGTACAGTACCATATCTGTGGCCAGGCTGGCTGTTCTACAGTGTGCCCAAGGTCAGTTTTCCATTGAGACGTAAATTTAGGGGGGTAATGGAAATCCCACGGAAAATTGAGGCATTCATTAAGGAGATAATGCTCTTCTCCTATGCTCAAAGTGGGTCAGGATATTGGGTGCATCAGTATGCATAAGTGTGGATTGACCATTGTTTTTGATTTGTATGTACAGTAACAAAATCCTATCATTTACAAAGGGGAGAATGTTGGAGTGCTATATGTGTTGTTCATTAATAGTTAAGGATGTGTGTAAGTGTTAGGTGTCCCATGGTTTTCAGTTGCAAGAGTATTTTCTTTACTAGCCAGGGTCTACAGTCACTCCACATAATTTTTGAAGGCTTGTTAAAAAAGGCTAAGAATGTTGGGAGGAATAAAGTGAGGACTCTAAACAGGTAGTTTGTGGAGTAGTGCAATTTGTTTTAAGGAACGTTCAATCAAAAATGTATATCTCTAATTTATACTTCATATATATTATAGAAAAGTACTTTGTTAACTAAATATTATGTAGTTGTTTTATTCTGTTTTTTAGTTTGTGTTTGTTTCTTGTTTGCCTTGATGTATTCATATCATGAATTTTGACACAGTCACTGTTTTTACACAGCAGAAGCTTTGGGGTTGATTTAATAAAGGTAAATAGGTTGTTCACTTTGCAAGGGAATTTTCCATTTAGCTTATCAAATGAGGTGAAGCTCTGCTGACTTCCGTCATCCAGTCATGGGCAAGCAAATATACTTGTCTTTAAGTTTGCATTGCATGTGTTTGGGTATTCTTTGCAACATACATTTTTATCACATTCATGAAGCTAAGAAAAAGTTCCCTTACAGAGTGATCAGCCTATTTTGCCTTTTGCAAATCAACCTCCCCTTGTGTCAACAGACTGATGTCTATGTTTTGTATAAAATCATTTTTTTATTAGTACCTCTTTAAAAAAATCTAAGATCAGCACGGGTTGTAATGGATAGGAAAAATGCAATGATGTCCAAGCTACTTATATATTTATTGAGATACATAGAGCTAAGAATTTTGAATATAGTTATATTCATATATCCAAGTTTATTTTGCTCTTTGTGTCCCTGCTGGGCAAGTTCTCCATTTTGTCCTGGTGACCAATCTTACCATGACAGAAAATGAGGGGAAATAAAAAAAAAAGAAATTTGAGTTGTCACCAGAGCAAGAGGTGGGGAAACATCTTTCAATGAGGATAAGAGTTCCTAAGACAACTCTCTAAGATGTAAACGTACTTGACTTCGGAGACATTTGCTCTCATTTCCTGTTCAGTTTCCCGGACAATGAAGGGAAATGTCCACAGTGGCACAGAGACAGCAAAAAATAACTTAATAGGGGCTCTATCTAAAGCTATAAAACAAGTTTGTCTTTACATATCCTTTAAAGTTTTATGTTAAAATGCAATTTATTAGACTACACCACTTCATTATGTAACCTCCCATGAAATAATTCTACAGGACAAAGTCAAGCTTCTCTAGTATCAAAAATGCCAACAATCCAGGGAGTCAAATCTTACTAAATACAGTGCAAAACTGAGTAACTCCTGGTGTTTTTTGTATTGTTATGAATGCTTGAAAAATGTCAATTTTAAATGAAACCGAGTTCTGGACTGAGTGGAATAAATGTTTAGGGGGATACACTCTAATGAGGGCCTCGCCTACATTAAAAAAAAAGTAAATTACTTAGATTAAAAAAAGCATGATTGCATTAATGAGGTCATAAAAGTATTTAGTGGCAACGTTATTTAAGGAAGCATAGCTTTTGTCAACTGAGGGCTGCATAGAAGGCGAGTAAGGATTGCATGCAGCCTAAAAAAAAAAAAACCACACCTGACTGGATGCCTGCTCTACAGCTATGAAAATTGAACTGCCTATTATATAAGCCATACTAACTAGTGGCACTTAGAAGTAGAGAGATATGTAAGCTTTAGGGGGTTCATGTTATACTTTCTATCACTGCTATTACTACCATGAACATGTGCAGTGCACTAAACAAAAAAAATAGTACATGTGGTACTTTATTTCAACACAACACATATTATTGAACTGTTGCACATGTACCACTTTCCCTAGGCACATGCATTGACTTTGAATGGTAATACAGCGCACCTACCGCTGGTTGCTGTATGCTGCTAAAACGCGTGCACTTAGGGCATGAAAGCACCTGCATTACCACAATGGAGTGGTGAGAACAAGGTCTCAGGGGAATATTTATAACCTAGTGACTGTGACATTTACCAAACATTCACTGCAGGTGACTGTAATTTTAAAACACATACGTCAGGAAGATAAACTGCAGTTAATGTTTGGTGAATGGCATGTTCAGTTCTTGTTCAGGGTGTGTGAGTAACACAACCATTAGCATCACAAAATTGCTGCCAGCTATGAATGTTCAGTATGAGTAGGATTACTTTTTAGCCGACTGAATCATAAACTAAAGCATACTCGTAATATATATGAATATATTTATATAGTTTGTTATGTTTCCTGTTTACAGATCAGCTGGACACAAGACAAAATTTGTCAAAATTCCCAATGGACATCTGTGGGTGGAAGGTGACCACCGTGGGCACAGCTTCGACAGTAATGCTTTTGGACCAGTGAGTACTTCATTTTCAATTCTTTATTTCACTCCTTTCTTTCACAGAAATAATTGTAGCATTACAATAGTGTCTTCACTATTAGTTCACATAATATTTCCTGAACAAAATCCATTTCATGAGGGAGACCTTTTTCTAGTCCAAGATTTCCTGCAATTTTGAATGAATTAACTTGTACTCAATGAATTAGCCATTGTACATAGTTGAACTTTGATGCATAATAATTAAAGATTCATATTTGCCATTATGCAGAATGATGTACAGTTCTTTGAAACTATTTCTTTCAGAGCAGAGCAGATTATTTTTTCTGTCATTTGCCTCTTTGGTGTTATTTTCACCAAGCATAAGCTCTTAGCTGAGCGGATATAAAACAAAATTTGTGTTTACATCTTTTGTAGTGGTTGTGTTGCTGTTGTGCCATACCCCGGAGCAATATTCCTATTTTAAATCCACTTTTTGGTTGATGCTTTATTTGGTGTTTTCCTTGAGGTTTCTCTTCATAGCAGCTCGTTTTAATTTCTTTGAAATGTCATAATGCTTGTTTCCCTGCTTACTAGCAAGGCCTGGAGGTATAATGCTCAGTTTATTTTTATTCTAGGGCTGTTAAGGATGATTACTTATTCACATTGTGGAGCTGTATGTGCTTATCTAAAATAGACAGCCATCAGACAGGATTTATTACTTTATAATATCAAATTACTGAATGTTTGTTGGTGTAGAATTTTTATTGATATTTAGGCTGCAGTCTTTCAGGTTATTTTACACCTTTTAGTTTATCGCCGTATTGTTTTTGACACATTGTATTCAGTAACACAAAAAGGGGTCATCTAGCATGTGTTTAGTGAACTTTTTCATTATTGTGCTGAGAATTACTAAATGCCATTATGTCATTTTATGAAAGCTGCACATAACGTCTTGGGTAAAAAACATCTCTTCTAGGCAGGAAAGGTATAATAATTTCTGTTTTTTTGATGACATGCAAAATTATGTTACAGTAATTGACTGAATTAGCATGGTACAATTTTTGCTGCTATGTCTGTATTTTATATTGCTTACCAGTATGTCCAATAAATGTAGTGTATTGTATCTTACATTCATACATAGATGGCTATTCAACCACTAGCTGCATTATTCTAATGCTTACCTACAGCCCTGTATTTGGGTGTCTTGAAAAGGAAAAATAATATTGGTGTAGCAGGGTGTGGGTAATATAGATTGGAGGTGGGTTTTTTTAAATATTTTTTGCTACGGTTCTGTTAAGAAATTAGATGTGTTTAATTAAGGGGTAAAGCAACAGGCTTCCTTTTAATGTCCCCCCCATGCTCACATTTACTTCCCTCTCCCATCTCCTTTATCTGCAAACTTACTTATTCTGGAATGGGCAGACTTTAGTATATGCTTTGAGCTAAAGTCTAGTACAGTGTGGCAAATTACCTCAGTTTTTGCCATAGCAAAAGTTTAAAGAAGGATTAATACATACTAATTCATAATCATATTTATTAAATTCCTACAATGTGACCCCTGTTGTCATGTAAAGAATTTTAGTTTCAGGATTTTTGAAACAATATATGCATGACAGAAAGCCAAAGGCACAGATGATATGCATACTGCTTTTGGCAATGGCAAAGCAAAACTGTTCTCTTCTAATTGAATCCAGATGGTTCTTCCTCTTTACCAAGTCAACTGATGCTCTTCCTCCTAATTTCAGAACGCCTAGAATAACGTTAGTTCTTGTACTTGCTATTGTGACTAGACAATAGAAACGTATTGGCATCTTAATAAGTAGCTACTAAATTCTATATATTAGTATTTATACATGTTATATTGTACTTTTAGATTTAAAAAGGGCAGACAAGTTAGGTTGCATAGATCTAGGATTTATTGTATATTGCTGCAATTGTAACTTTATATACAAGTTAGTACTTGTTAGCTTATGATCCACTAACTGGTCCAGGACAGCCTGCTGTGCTTTCTCTCAAGAGCTTGAAAACTGAGAGACTAAAACATTGTCCCCTGCTTGAGTTCCCTACACTCCTTGGAGTCTTCCTTAGATCCTTTAGGCCCCTCTCCTTGGCCTTATTCTGGGAAGATTTCACTGCAGTTATGCAGATTTCATGGGCCACATTGCGTGTTAGATTGCCGACTCACTACAGAGCCTATATGCATACCTCAATGCCTTAATGCCTTACCCTCATCAGATCTGCCTGCATTCAGCAGCCTATGAGCCACTATCTGTTGAAGAGACTCAAAAAATATTGCCAGATGATATTGTCCGTAAGGAGTTACAGGCATCTACCATAGCTCCCAGGCTTAGGAGACCATTTCAGGTGGGTGACACATTAAAACTACAAGTACAGCTTTTAGCTTCTATTAGTGCTGTTACAAGTCGGCAATCTTTTAGAAGCCCTAAGACTTAAAGAACTTTTTGGTGCATACCCTACTCCAAAACATCCTGTACGGAGACTGGAAAAAACTATTCACATTGTCCAAACATTTTGCAGCCTAATATCTTTTTAAGCAGACATTGATTTAATAAAGTGTTGATGGTTCCTGTAGAGGATGACCCCACATATAAATGTTTTGGGATTTCTTTAAAAGCCATGTTTTACCTGGCAGTCCATGCATTTTAACCCACAACGGCAGTGGTTTGGAATGGATTAAACTAATAAAAATTAACAAGTCTCCGTTCATGCTGACTCCCTAGTCATAGTGCACTTAAAGTTTATGTAGGCTTCTCTACATTACTGCACAGACAGTTTAGTGGATGTTTTAAGTATTATTTCTGATCAGTAAACATGCAGAGAACTGTTTGGTTACTATGTTGGTCTGCAGAGCAGGCATGTAAAAAGCATTTTCTGTGAATGCCTTTTGAAGGTCAACATCTCTTTAAAGCTGCAATGGACACCCTAGTCATAGCTTTTACTGGTTGTACTCATCTACCCCAACAAAAAAAGCCTAGGCATCAAACCCCCAAGCCAAGGACAGTTCCTTTTGCTAATTCCATGCTTCAACCTTGAGGATTAAACCCAAGCCAGGAGCCCAGTTAAACCACGAACCCTGGGCTTTAAAGTGGCCTAAACCTGCATATACGTTCTCTTGAGCATTAAGGAACAACCTTATTTTCCATAGTAGGGAGAAGTCTGTTATCCTTTGCAGATATCTGAGAAGATAGCATCTCAGAAGCCTGGGTAAGGGAGGTGGTTCCCAAGGCCTACAAACCTTAGTTGTGCTCTCAACCCCCTCCACATTTCATGTCTTTCAACCTTCCTATGTCACCACACAGGTTAGCAGACCTTTATGCAGCTCTTGCAGGCCTTCTGGATCAAAGGAGTATTGCTCTGGTTTCGGTAGCAGAAAAATGTTACTCCTATCTTGGATCTCATGGTTCGTTGGTCTCTTGTCTACACCCCATGTTCTCACCAAGGTTCTAGTTCCTGTGCTTTCCTTGTTATGCTCCCATGGCATCCCTATTATGGGTTATCTGGATAACCTCCTTTTAAAGGCACATTTGTCACAAGTCTTGATGGATAACATGAGGTAGCCAGTTCAAACCCTACAAAAGTTCTAGGGCTGCAACAACTAATCGACATGCTCAATTATAATTGATTATTGAAAAAGTTGTCAACTTTTTCAATAATCGATTAATCGGCTTCTGATCAGTTGGCCCTGTTCACAGCTCCACACGCTGTGCGCCGCACCTCCTCCCCACCTCACGCTCGTCGCTGCCAGACCCGCCTGCCCGCATCCATGCTCCACACGCCGCACCTCCTCCCCACCTCACACTCACCACCCACATCCATGATCGGAACAGGGACGCGGGGAGATGTAGTAAGGAGGAGCAGGTGTGGGGGGATGACAGCCGCCGATACATAAGGTCCGATCTCAGAAGCAAGTTGCTGGAAGACTGCTCAGGTAAGCCTGCACTTTTCCACACGTGGTGCTCTATAATGTATTGCTGGGATTTGTATTCCTCTATAGCTGATGGTACATTGTGCTGTATATTATACATAGAAATACAAACCCCAGCAATACATTATACACTGTATGTATAATGTATTGCTGGGATTTGTTGTACTCCTATATAGCTGGTGGTATTCTGCATTGCGTTGTATAGGGGACTACAAATCCCAGCAATAATACATTATACAG